TTAGTTTGGAGATTGGGTGGTGGGATGGGGTGAGGTGGGGAGATTCACTAGTTTATATCTGAAATTTCTTGTATCACTATTTTGATCCTACTCTCCTTCACAAAAACCGCCCCCCAGAATTTGAAAGTTGAAAGGGACACCAGTAGCCTAACTCATAACCCAATTGAATCCTCACCATGATGTACTCCACAAGTGGTCATCCATTTGAAGATCTTCAAGGAGGACAGACCCTCACCTCTTGAGGCAGTTCATTCCATATCAGTTCTATATGGCCTATTCCATTCCCTGTTCCTACCTTAGGGCCTTTGTGAGTGTTGTCCTTTTCAACATATCTCTGTCTAATGAATTTTTCCTTTTCTTTGAGGTCCAGCTCAGGTACTGCCTCCTTCATGAAGCTGTCCTGACTCCCTGATCACCTCATCTAGATGGGATCTCCTCTTCCTCAAACCTCTCTTGCCTCAGACTTACCTTAAGCACTTGTGGCTCAGTCATGCTCTTCATGGCCCCGTTTGGGGTTTTCTTGGCAGAGATATTGGAGTGGTTTTCCATTTCCTTCTCCAGCTCACTTTACAGATGAGGAACCTGAGAGAAACAGGGTTTAGTGACTTGTCTAGGGTCACACAACTAGTTAGTGTGTGAGGCTGGATTTGAACTCGGGAAAATGAGTGATCCTGATTCCAGGCCTGGTGCTCTATCCCCTGCACCATCTAGCTGCCCACTCTTGCGTACTAATCATAGTTTAATTTGTATTATAGTTATGTGCATACCAAATTGTAATTGTATACTGGAGAGCTGGGCCTGTGTCCTATTTATCTTTATATTCCCAGCACCTTACAGAGTATGGCACTAGTCAAATTATGTTGAATTGAGGCAAGTTTATGATGTTGTAAAGGTTCTGCTCATATCCTGCCTCCTGGCATAGAGATAAATGAAGACTGAGAACCCAGCAACTCAAGAGACAAACAGAGTGGGTTTTTCCCTCATCCTTCTCATCATATTTTTCCTTCAGTGCACAGTTTGAGAAATGGAAGAAATAAGAAGCTCTCTTTTAGAATGGTTTTTAAAAATCACTTCTGACAAATGTTGGTTTGAAGTTTCTTGCAGTGTTGGTATAGGAATGTCCCATGGGTGGCCCATGGCCCGAAACTTGGTCTTGACTTGGGCTTCAAAGCAGACCTTACATGAAGGATTTGGTACAATGAGGTTCAGGGAGGCAGTTGCTTAGGATAGGTAACCAGGTGAGGGTAGGGAGAATTTGAAAAAGGTGTCGAAGGAGGCAGAATCTCCCTGGCTAATTAGTGTTACTCATGCTTGATACACTCATTGCAAACTGGCTTATTGGCTGTTTCCCCAAATTTCCCTAATGCCTGGTAAAGCTCTCCCCTCCCTTCTTCCTCATGAAGTCTTTAGCTTCATTCAAGGCTCAGATCAGCTCACCACACCTTTCCTGATTATTCTAGTCATTAGGATTCTTTCCTTCCTCAAACTGTTTTGCGTGTAATTATCATTTCCTTGAAGCTTCCTCAGCATGGCTCTACTTTCTTCCGTCTCTACCCAACAGAAACTTGGAATCTACTCTTGGGTTCCTTGCCTCTGGTAGGCGAGCTTTTCTGCCTCCTGATTGCTTTCTTACCATGGCTCTACTCTCTTTTCACCTTCATCCCAAAGGACATTTAGACTGTACCTTGGGCTCCAAACCATTTTTCTTCACCGTGTCCCCATAAGGGTAACACACATCCCCTTCCCCCTTTTCAGCATACTTTTCTGTGTTGTCTTTTCTCTTTAGACTATCAGCTTCTTGAGGGCAGGGACTGTCTGGCTTGCTTTTGTATTGCCAGCATTTAGCAAAGGGCACGTATATAACAAATGCTCTGTTGGTCTGCCTATCCTTTCTATTTATTATCTACAATGTTTGTATTTTGCAAATGAATGTACTGCTCTCTATCCTCACCCCTATCTCTTGGAATCTCTTCAAGCATCAGCTCAAGTGCCACCATCTACAAAAGGTCTTTCCTCATTTCCCCAGTTGTTAGTCCCCCCTGCCTTAAAAAATTTACTTAGTATTTATGAGGAGACTGTGGTTTTTCAGTGGCCAAAAGATAGCACCAAAACTTCTGTTGACAGATATGTATAATTAAGGCAGGAATACAAGGTATGTGGTTGAGATGGACCTTACTTCTTTCATTTACCTTTTGCTCTGGCTCGAATTCATTTATTTACATCCTAAGCCAGAGAAGATCTCCAATATCCAATCCTAAATAAGTTAGTTTTCAGTAACAGAAGACTTTGGTCTTCTCTAGAAGCAGGGGTCAAAAAGAAAAGACAGTCTAAGCCTAAGGGGATCTCTGTCTGGTTTAATTTTTTTTCTTTTTAACTGGGTGTGGCAGATATAACTTAAAAGCAGAGAGATGTTCTAGCTGCTATACCTTAGCAGACTGAGATTGAAAGGGCTTGTGTGGTTCTGAAAAGGTAAGTCTAGAAGCTAGTAGCTTCTTGGAAGCAATGATCTGTAAAGGTTACACACTTAGAAGGCATCAGAGAAGCACTTAGATGATACAATGTGCCCAGTGGTCATCATGACACTATTGGAGATGGCATGAAAATAGCACAACAATGTGCCAGTGTAGTGCCCAGCACTCACCAATAGACCAGCAGAGATATCACTCCAGCATCTAGCAAGTTCAGTGAGGGTAGTATGAAAATATTGCCAGAAGATGTTTCTTTTTCTTTCAGCAATGGAGGCTATATCCTTCACATATGTGTCCTGACCATACCTAATCCCTTTGTGTGTGCTTCTAATGTACAATGCTTATACATGCTAATTCTCCCACTGGTGGGATGTGGATTAGTGGGACAGTGCACACTAGGTTTATGGGAAGAATGTTTTATTATGAATTTTCTCACTATACGATTTCTTTAAATGTCTTTGCTTTTAATTCATCATGTGCTCTGGCTGGCTAGAGAAGAAGTAAAAATATTAGCAGAGGTTTGTGAGCTATGGTTTTATGCAGATGTAGGATCACAGCATACCTTCATCTTGAGAAAGCTTTCTAGGCATTCCACGTGTATATCCTTACAGGGGCTACATATTTATTTTGCATTTAATTATCTTGTGTATATGTTGTCTTCTCCCAGTATAATATGAATGCCTTAAGTGCATAGACTGTTTGTTTGTTTTTTTATCATAGTACTGAGCCTTAGGGTCAGAATCTCTGATTTCACTAACTCCCAGATAAGGAAACTTAGCACTTCTAGTCTTTGAAGAACAAGAACAAATAATGGGAAGCTAAGTGACTCTCCCCAGGGCCACAGTCAGTAGGTATCAGAGGCCAGGAGAAGTGAACCCAGTTGTAGTCGGCTTTCTGAAGGTGGGGCAGAGTCAAAGTATTGGTCAAGAAAATTTTTATTAATTAAGAATAAAAGCCAGGAAATTGAAGACTACCAGATATGAAAATTCAGATAGTCTTTCAGAACCGTGCACCAAGGACCTTCTGACTTCTCTCAACCTGGAGGCATGGGTATGGTCATAGTTCTCACCATAAATGATAGCTGATGTGATTCAGCAACATTATTCTCATTCTCCACCCGGAGGCTTCTGAAAAATTAAAGTCTTTGCTTTCCTGAGGGCATGTGGTTGCAAACCTGAAGACTGATGCAGGGATATGCTGGAAAATGTTTAATAGCTACCTCTAGGAAAAAAAAATGTACCCATCCTACACTTTCAAGTTGAATCTTTTAAGTGTAAACTTTTAAGTTTAATGAAGTTAATTAAAATTAACTTTTTTCATTACTTTTTTAGGTCCAGACAATCAACAAAACAATCAATTAGCACTGATCTGAGTCAGTGTGGTATAGTAGAGAGGAGCCCCAGGCCTGGTTCAGGAGAGCTCTGGCTTAGTGACCAGGTGGCCCTGTAAGGATGTGGAGAGGACTGGGACCACATCTGTCATACAAGGAACTCCTGATGGAAATGGGGATGTTTAGTTTGACAAGAGAAGATTTAGGAAGGCCAGCATAGTTGTCTTCATGTCAAAGTTATCTTGCCGAGGAGGCGTAAGACTTGTTTTGCTGGGCTCCTGAGGGCAGAACTTGGAAAAGGAAAGTTACAAAGAGGCAGGTTGGATCTGATATGAAGGCTTCCTAATAACCAGAGCTGTCCAATAGCAGAATGGGCTACCTGGAGGGAGGAGGTAGGGGAAAAGAATAAGCATTTATATAGCACCTACTGTGTACCAGACACCATGCCACTCAGCACTTTATAAATATCGTCTCGTTTGATCGTCACAGCAATCCTGAGGTAAGTGCTGTTATTATTCCCATTTTACATTTGAGGAAACTGAGGAAAACAGAAGTTAAGTAACTAGCTCAGGGTGACACAGGTATTAAGCATCTGAGGCTGGATTTGAATTCACTTTTTTTGTTTTTTGCACTTCAGGACCAGTACTCTGTCCACCATGCTACCAACTGCCTCCTTGAGACACCGTGTTGGGTTTGACATTTCTATGAGACATCCAGCTTCTCAACTATGCCCTCTAAGAGTGAATTGCGTATTGAGGAACCCACACACCGTAAGAGCAGCAGAGATGGTCTGCTGAGTCCTGCGGAGTTTCTCTGTCAGTCTTGCTCAGTAAAATCTCGAAGGCCTCCATGGCCACAAAGCAACTTGAAGGTCAGAGATAGAATGAAAGCATGCTAACATCCTTAGAGAGAGCATCCAAGTTATCCCAGTTTACAGATGAGAAAACTGAGTTACTCAGAGTTGAAGTGGTTTGCATGGAGATGTACCATGACACAGTTGACAGAATGTTGAACTTGGAATTGGGAACACCTTAGTTCAGATCCTGTCTTAGACACTACGTAGCTGTGTGGCTCTGCGCAAGTCACTTGACCTCTCTGAGTTTCTTCATACATAAAGTGGGCATAACAATAGCACCTGCCTTACAAGTTATTGTGAGGATTAAATAAGATAATGTATATTGGATACATAACAAAGTTCAAAGTAACTATGTAAATGTTTTTATTATTATTTTTTTTGTTTGGGACATATACTGCTTTTATTCTTGGCACAGAATCAAAAAGCAAATTAAACAGTACATAATAATGACAAAACAATGGATAATAAAATAATTACAAAGTGACTGGGAACATGTTGCTCTCCTGGACTCTGGAAATTGTCAAACAGTACACAAATTACTTTGAACCCAAGAATCCTGGGAAATGCAATTTGGGTGGACAAAAGAATGTACCCGGCAGAACACAGTTAAAACTCAATGTCTGACTCACATTCTGCAGGATCAGTCATCCGGTCAAAACTCAGAGACTCTTCAGGAACTATGGATGAAGGACTACGTACTCTTCTCTCATCATGGGGGTATGGACTTGGGAGAAGACAGACACCCTCTCTATGAGTTACTATTATTGCCTATGGTCACATAGCTAACGGCAGACCTAGGAATCCAACCCAGGTCTTCTGACTTGAAGCGCTTTTCCCACAATACCATGTTGCTTTTCTAGGTACCAGAATCACCTCTAGAACTCTTCTCCAATGAGTACTGATCTGAGCAACTTTCCATCTTGCAAATTAGAACATCATCTAATCTTGTCTGGCTAAACTTCAGGGTGGGGTAATAACACCCAGGGCCAAATACCGGCACCCAATACAGATACAGAGAGAGAGAAGCACATAAGACAGGCTCCTAACTAGAGTGGAAGAAGATACATTACTTCCACGTTGTTCAATAAAATTGCCATGCGCCATTCTCAGCTCTTGTTGCTTGATTACGTTTTGGGAAGTCTACTATGTTCAGTCTTTGGTGCTGACCTGGGTGAGTACCCAGGGGCTCCTTCACTCTTTACAGAGGGAAGAAAGGTTCAGTTTCATCTTCTGGGTTGAAGGAGAGGGGCTCCCTTGTTGGAGGTGGTCTTTTTCTAGTCTCTCTGAGGGGCATCCCAAGCTGGAAGATGGGTGGTGGGGAAGAATCAGGGAGCACCAGGGTAGAATTGTCATCCTTTCTTGTATGTGCCTGGGCCTTATCTGCCTGGGGGCCTGAGATCTCCTGTATTTATAGCCTTTCCCAGGTGAGAGTTTCTGGTTCTGTGGCAATACCAAGCTAGAATAGATGACAGAGGAGTCCTGTAGAGAGAACAGACATCAGAAGAAGAGAAAAGGGAAATAGAGGAAATGAGAATACTGGGTAGCCATACTTACCTCTTCACTCAGGGATGGGTCTTTGGAGAGGGCTGTGGAATGAAAAGGAATTGTGCAGGTTAAGGCATTAAGGCTCATTTGCTCATCCCCTTCACACTTTATCCCTTGCTGTTCAGCTCTAGGGTGAGTGGGACTATCATAGAAAACAGTGGAAAGTGGAATGATCCCAGGGAACATTAGGAGGTTGAATTCTAGTCTACAGCATGACATTGCTAACCGTCCTTCCCTTCCCCAGTCCCCATGCTCTGCCCTTCTTTGACTTCTGTAACATTACACTCTTATCTTCCTTCCTCACTAACTGCTCCTTCATCTTATTTCCTGGATATTTTTCCTTTCCCCTCTCTAACTATAGTTTTATCCTTGGTCCTCTTTTCTCCCTCATTCTCTCTTTCTTGTGATAGCCAAGACTTTAAGACTCAGTGTCTCCGGTTCTGACCCTTTCCCTGGTCCCCTGGACAACCTTGCTAGAACTGCTTAGGAGACATCTTTATCTTGATCAAATTTCCACCTGTATTTCAAAGCTGAAGATGCTGCTGCCCCCACCTCCAACCTGCTCTTTATACTGGTGTCATAAGAATTCCTCCTCTTCTTTAGTTCCATTGTCTAAACTTGGCTCAAATTCAAGACCCTATCCACCCTCTTTTTGGTTAGATCAGTTCATGATTGTGTTATATACTTTATCTATCCCAGAGTAAGAATACACAGAAACCTTTCATCTGTATCTGTAAAACCAATTAAGTTTTCTCTCTCTCTCTCTCTCTCTCTCTTTTGACTAGGCAATGGGGTTGAGTTACTTGCCCAGGATCACACATCTGGTAAGTATTATGTGTCTGAGGCCGGATTTGAACTCAGGTCTTCTTGAATGCAGGGCCGGTGCTCTATCCACTGCACCAAGTAGCTGCCCCCAAATTTCTTCTCTTTTGGTGCCCACTTAACTCTTCAAATCACAAAGTACCCTTCCCAATGCCCTCATATGGCAGGTAAGCTCTGTGAAGGCATGTTTCATTTTTGCTTTTGTATCCCTAGCACCTGGCTCAGTGCTATTCACTTAATAGGTCTTTAATTTTTTTTTAATTGAATGTCTCATCACCACTGGTCATAAAGTAGGATAGAATTTGGGATGGGGAGGGTGGATACATAGAAAAAATCCTTCCATGAGTCACCCACTGTATCTGGTTCTTCAGTGTTTGTATCTTCATTCTGTCTCTTCAATGATCACCCATTATTTGCTGAGCAAGACTTAAGCTCCTTGGCCTGGTGTTCAACCTCTTTTACAATCGGATGTCTCTGTTCCTTGCCAGCCTACTTATCTCATAATGTTCAGTTCAATTAATATGTATTTAGCAACATTGCTGCTAAAAAAATGTTTATCGAATTGGTGTGACCCTGGACAAGTCACTTAACCCTATTTGCCTCATTTCCTCATCTATAAAATGAGCTAGATGAGGAAATGGCAAACCACTTCAGTATCCTTGCCAAGAGAACCCAGATGGGGTCATGAAGAGTTGGCCATGATTGAAATGACTTAACAACAACAGCAACAACAGCTAGATGACAGTTGTGAAAATGACAAAATGTGCTACATACTAGGCATACAAAAGCAAAAATGAACGTTCTGTCCTCAAGGAGCTTACATTCTACTGGCAGATGCAACACGTACACAGTAAATAAACACAAAGCACGTAAGACATGATATAAAGTGTCCTCAAAAGAGTGAGAGAATGAGGTGGGGGAAAGGACTAGGAAAAGCCCTAAGCTAAATATTCAGAGACAGAGAGGCAGGTGGAGGGGGTACATTGCAGACAAAGGCTATTACTTGTGCCAAGAAATGAAGGAGGGAAGTATGATATTTTACAAAATATTATGTAATATTGTGATATTATGTGACATAATAAATGTGATATAATATATATATGATACATGCTACATTATATGTTATAATAAATGTGATATTATGTAAAATAGAGAGTGCATGAAGGGGACTAAGTTGGTCAGTCTACAAGCATCTGTTAAGCACTTACTATGTGCCAGGCACTGTGGTAAACAAGTACAGAGGAAACAAATATAAGCAACAAGAGAGATTATTTATGTCTCTGAAGACATTACATGGTAATGGGGGAAGGCAGCACAGAAGGGGGAAGCTGCAAAGGGGTGGGGAGTAATGAGGTAACCAGGCAAAAGGCATGGTGGCTTATTCCAGGGAATCAAGGATAGCTGGTTGGGGCACTTCCCAGAAATGGAGGTTGCAGGAAGAACTCAGAAATAGGTGGAAAGGCCCGCAGAAGCAGAAGCAGAAGCAGGAGGCAGCTGAGGCATGCTAGGGAATTCAGAAAATAAGGGCAGTTGCAGATGCAAGTTTGGAGATCAGAAGAAAGGTTAGGGCTGGATAAGTAGTTCTGAGTATTATCAGAATAGAAATTATAATTGAATCCATAGGAGCTGATGAGATAAACTAATTGAAAGAGGATAGAGGGAGAATATAAGAGGGCCCAGAACAGAGCCTTGGGGGATAACCATAGTTAGTGGACATGACTTGAATGAAGATCCAGCAAAGGAGACTGAGGAGCCATTCAACAGGTAGGAGAACCAGGAGAAAGTAATGCCATGAATTGGATTCGGTGAAAGGGCCGCACTCGAGGACCTGGAGGGCCACATGTGGCCTTGAGGCTGCAGGTTCCCCACCCCTGATTTTAGACTAATATGAAGTAAGATCAGAAAGTTAGGTGAGAACTAGATTATTAAGGGCTTTAAATGCCAGGGTGAGGATTTTGCATTTTGTACTAGAGTCTAAAGGGACCATTGAAGATTTTTGTGGGTAAGAGAGTGCCTCAGTTTCCTCATCTGTAAAATGAGTTGAAGAAGAAAATGGCAAACAACTCTGGAACCTTTGCCAAGAAAAGCCCAAATGGAATTATGAAGAATCAGACACGACTGGAATGACAGAACAGTAACAGCGAGGTGAAGAGGAATGACATGCTCCGATTTTTGTTTTGGGAATGTCCATTTGGCAGCTGTGTGGAGTAGAGACCGGAGAGGGAAGAAACTGGAGGCAGGCAAACCTGTTAATAGGCTATTGTAGTGCTTCAGGCAAGAGGTGATGAGGGCCTGAACTGGAGGAGGAACTAACGAGCAAGGAATGGACGAAAGAGATGAAGGGGATAACAGATTGGCTTTAGGGCTTGAGGAAGAATAGAGAGTCAAGAATAACTCCCAGGTTGTGAACCTCGGTGCCTGGTAAGGGTACCCTCAATAGAAACGGGAAAATTTGGAGGAGATGAATCTGGGGAAAATACAATGAATTTTATTTTGGACAAGTTGAGTTTCAGGTGCTTAAGTGACATCCAAGTGGAGATGGCCAGTAGGCTGACAATAATGTAGGGCTGCTGTTCAGGAGAGAGATTAGAGCTAGATACATAAATTTAGGAGTCATCTTCGTAGAGATAACCATTGAACCCTTGGGAACTGATGAGGCCGTGCAGGAAGAGTTTATATAAAGAGAAGAGTGCCATGACACAGGCTTGGAAATGCTTACTCAGTGGGCAAGAGAAGGAGGATGGTCCAGCAAAGGAACGGTCAGACAGATAGAAGAGTCCAGAAAGAACAGAGCAATGAAAGATAAGGGAGGAATGTCCAGGAGAAGGGGATGGCTGACATTGTCAAAAATCATAGAGATCGAGAAGGTGAAGAACTGAGAAAACGCTTTTGAATTTTGTGGTTTAGAGATTGCTTTTCATCTTCTGAACAAGCTCCTATGTATCTTCATCTGTTTTCTTTTTGCCTATTCAATTTTTACCTATTCTTTTTTTTAATTGCTTTTTTTTTACTTATTCTTTAAACCCCAACAGAAATGCCTCCTTCTCTAAGAGTATGTTTTGATTCCTCCCCCCCTTTCCCTCAGAAGCAGCCTGATACAGAGGGAAAGGAATTGAATAAGAAATCAGAGACTCTGGATTCAGATCCTGGCCCTGCTACTTTAAACTTGTGGAGTTGATCAGATTTATTCCTCTCTCAGGCCTCGGTTTTCTCATCTGTAAAATGAGGGGGTTCTCTCCAACATCTAAATCTTGTGACCTTTGAGAACTTACATAATACTTTGTTTTGCTTCTCTCTCCTGTGTTTAGGATTATAGGGACCTTAGTAAAACTCCTTCACATTTATAGATGAGGAAGCAAAGGCCCGGAGAGGTTGTGTAGGTAGGTAGTACAGTGATTTGGTTGTCAGGGTAACAGGAGCGATGAGAAGAGCAAAAGTTTCCAGCTCCATTGGACTCTTTTAGTCTTGTTCCTGAGCTAGTGATGTGCATGAACTCGGGCTAGGGACCAAGGGGCATGATTCAACTCAGCTAAATCCAAACACTTATTTAACACTTACTATGTGCTAGTAGGGGCAGCTAGGTGGCGCCATAGTGCACAGAGTGAAGGATCTGGAGTCAGGAAGACTCAAATCTTCCGGAGTTCAAATCTAGCTTCATACACTTACTACTAGCTGTGTGACCCTGGGCAAGTTACTTAACTGTTTGCCTCAGTTTCCTCATCTGGAAAATGAATTGTAGGAGGAAATGGCAAACCATTCCGGTGTCTCTGCCAAAAGAACTTCAAATGGGGTCACAAAGAGTTGGTCATGGCTGAAACAGTTGAACAATAGCAATGTGTTAATCTTTGGGGGTATAGAAAGAAAAATAAAATCATTTCTATCCTCAAGGAGTTTATATTCTATGGGAGATTGGGGGCTAGCATCATGTACACAGTTATGCAAATGCAAAATATATGTGCAATGAATACAGAATACATTTTCTGAGTGGGGAAGGAAATATCACCAACAACCAGAAAAATTAGCAAAGGTCTGTTGTATGAGGTGGCCATTGATCTGAGCCTCAAAGGGAGCTAGATATTCTGAAAATCTAACTATAGTGTCATCCAGCTCCTGTGCAGTTTTGCAAAGTAGAACTTCTGGGATGGTGTTTAAGAAGACAAGATATCAATTAGAAGTATGATGGGATTAAAAGAAATGAATTGATCATAAGTCAAATAAA